TGGGGTAGACTCTCAGAACAGACTCTCAATCAGTCTTCTACATTTCTCCTATTTTCTTCTTGGAGAGGCAGTGGGGTCATGTGCAGTGAGCATGAGGCAGGAGACAAGAACTTACCCTGGATTTACCACTGTGTGCTGATCATGAATCATAGAACCATAGAGCTGGAAGAGACCTTAGAAGGTCATCAAGTCCAGCCCCCTGCTCTAGGCAGGACCAATCCCAACTAAATGAACCCAGCTAGGGCTTTCTCAAGCTGAGACTTAAAAACCTTTAGGGTTGGAGATTCCACCCCCTCCCTAGGTAACCCATTCCAGTGCTTCACCACCCTCCTAGTGAAATAGTTTTTCCTAATATCCAACCTAGACCTCCCCCACTGCAATTTGAGACCACTGCTCCTTGTTCTGCCATCTGTCACTACTGAGAACAGCCTTTCTCCATCCTCTTTGGAACCTCCCTTCAGGAAGTTGAAGGCTGCTATCAAAACCCCCCTCACTCTTCTCTTCTGCAGACTAAACAAACCCAAATCCTTCAGTCTCTCGTCATAGGTCATACACTCCAGCCCCCTAATCATTTTGGTCACTCTCCGGTGGATGCGTTCACATCTTTTCTATAGTGGGGGCCCCAGAACTGGACACAATACTCCAGATGTGGCCTCACCAGAACTGAATAAAGGGGAGTAATCACTTCTCTGGATCTGCTGGCAATGCTCCTCCTAATGCAACCTAATATGCCATTAGCCTTCATGATGTTTGTTTACCAAAGAATTCTGCTACATGGCTAGTGATCATGTACTCATCAAAAGGGGTGCATTAAGACTGCCAATGGAATATCCAAGCAGGCCACAGTAAGAGCCTAGCAAAGGCTAGATCAAGGCAGTTCTCTGTCTGTCCCTCTGGCATTCACCATAACAGGGATGATGACTGTGTGATAGTGAGAAAGTCACTTTCCTGCCTGAGCCTCATTTTCCCCATCTGTGCAGTAGGGCTAATGCTACTGTCTCCCATGGAACCCTCAGAGCTCCTTGGAAGGACACACTGCAGAGATACAATCTATTCTTATTCTCGCCCATGCTCTTCCTTTCACACAGAGCGTAGTGGAGTCATTTACCAGGGAGTTGCTCAGCTGTCTCTCTGGCCTCATCAATAGGACACTCTGATCCACAGCTCGGACAGCGCACATGGATCTGGGAGCAGCCTGGATCCGGAGACTGACCTCAGATCCAGGGAGGGCCTCATCCTCTGAGAACTCTACCTTCACCTTGATGGGCACAAGGGAAAAGAACATGAGATGGGAGGGGAGAAAAGCAGGGAGAGAATTCCCTCTGCTGATCATCCTGCAGGTTGCTACAACAGAGAAGAGCCCCACACAGTCCAGGTGAAGGTAATCCCTAAGGGTTCACCTCAGGCAGAGCCAATTGCTTCAGGAGAGAATGAGGCAGCTATGAGAGCAGATGGCCCATGACTGGGGTTCTGAAGAGAAGGACAACTGAGGAATAAGGACAATTGAGGGTAGGAGCTGTAGCTTGGATACATATCACTGCATGCCATGAATATTATTAGAGACACTTAACCAGAAGAACCAACAGCACAACCTGCTGAGAGTCCATCATTGCAGTGCTCTTCTCTCCACACCAGCTCTCCTCTGAATGCCAGGTCAAACTGAAAAGACTCAGTTGTCCTCTTTAAAGCCTCCATGGGACTGGCTTATGTTTCCTAAAGCAGTGGCTCTCAAGAGTTTCAGACTGCTGTATCCTGTCAGGAGTCTGATTTGTCTTGCATACCCCAAATTTCCTCTCACCTAACGACTTATTTACAAAATCAGAAGTGTCACAGCCCACTACTACTGAAAATACATTTGTACAATATTCTTATATATGAAATCAATTGCAATATAACTGTTGTGCTTGCATTTCAGTGTATATTATACTGAGCATTATAAACAAATCTGTATGACATTTTAGTGTGTACTGACTTCGCTGATGCTTTTCTGTAACCTGTTGTAAAGCTAGGCAAATATCTAGGGGCATGTCTACACAGCAGGCAAAAACTGAATTAAGTCATGCAACTTCAGTTACGTCAATTGCACAACTGAAGTTGAAATAGCTTAATTCAGCTTCTGGAACTGTCTACGCAGCAGAAAGTTGAAGGAAGAACACTCTTCCTTTGACTTCCCTTGCTCCTCATGAAACGAGGATTACAGGAGTCAGAGTAAGAAGTCCTCTAGCTCGACATGATTTCAAAATAAAGGCTTGCTGTGTAAATGAGCTCTTTGTTATTTCAGAATAACATCAGTTATTTGGAAATAATACTGCTGTGTAGACGTATCCTAGATGAGTTGATGTGCCTCCTGGAAAAAAAATACTAGTCAGTGCAAACATGAACCAACATATACCTTTCCTACCACACCAAAGATCTGTCTCAATGATTGTCCCTACTGAGAACCCCCAGGTTGAGAAGCACTATCCTAAGGCACTTGCTCACCCTATCTGATCATAGCTCCCTGTGACAGCTAGGCTCCTGTCGAACAATGGAGCTGTCAGTCCTCAAGAGTGAGATGTGTGTGCACAAGAAAAGGGCTTTCAGCTTGTGGTTAAGTATCTTGATGCCAAACGACATTAGAATGGTCCCAGATCTCAGGCCTTTCCAAACAGAGGGTCTTCAGTGACCCTTCCTCTACGAGCCTCAACAAATCCACACACTAAAACAGGTCCCTACATTCCCAGTGAATCTCTATTTCAGCCATTGAGTTACACATGGCCACTCACATGTAACTACTCCTCCCCCCCCCCATAACTTTGTGGCATTCCTTCCCAGACACATATCCCCATGAACCCACAGCCCCTCAGCCATGAGTCCTACCTCATTTTTGAAGCACATGGAGACCCTGAAAGGGGCACTATCAGCTATGATTCCTCCAGTGGGGAAGATGACATAAACTACAATGGTAGGAGCGGGGGCATAGTCAGAGGTGAAGACCAGAGGGATGAAGAAGGTGCCCGTAATCACTGGATGGGGGAGGGTAGAGGGGAGAAAGAGAGAAGAAAAGGTGGTTATGTTTCCATCACCAAATGTACCAAGATCTTCCCTTTTGCCATCACTCTTCCTCTGCCATTTTGTTTCCTTTCTCCCTGTCTCTGCCTCATGGAACTGGGTCACATAGAACCAAGGAGAGTCCAGACAGACTCATGGAACAATCAGTCTCCCCATGGGCTCCTCAAGCTCTGACATGCCATTATAGATCTCTCTGTCTCTAACCATCACCTGCACGGGCTAGAGTATCAGCTCATTGGGTGTTAGCAGATAGCAGTGAAATGCCCAGTTTTACCCTACATGGCTACATCATGGAGCAGAGCTTGTGGGGACACAGCAGAGCACAGAATGATCACTGTGTGAAGAGATGCCTGCACTTACTCTTAGAAGATCCAACCAAGAAAGTCTTCTGACCTGAAAGGACAATCCCCACTTTCCCCATGACCTGAGGGAGATGAGAGAAAAAGGCATGAGAGAAGGGCCAGGAAATGCCAGAAATACAGTGTGTAGCATGACAATATCACACAGACCAGGGTTCCCATGTATGGCACCGCGGCGAATGGAGAGCAGGTGGCTCGGGGAGCTACAGCGACTGGGATATGGAATCTTTTTCCGGTCAGGCACCAGGTCTGAGCCAGTGCGGTATGAGTTGTGAGCAAATGTCCCACCATTTTGATAGCTAATTGATGGACTCTGTGAAATTATTTAAGTGGCCCTGTTCATAATGGCAGTCGCCACATTGAATAAAGAGAAACAATAAATAAATGGTCACTGCACAAGACGTCTCATTGGGGGGTGTGCGTGTGTGTGTGTGTGTGTGTGTGTGTGTGTGAGAGAGAGAGAGAGAGAGGTGTGTGTGAGAGAGAGATTGATCGTGTGTGTGAGACTCTCTCTCTCTCTCCCCCACCCCCCGGCCATACAGGGCTTGAGTCTGTTAGGGTTCCTTATCCAGCATCTTTATCCAGCATCACTACCACCCCCTTGCATTTCCCTAGCAACTCACATAGTAGGAAAAATCCACACTCTTGTGACCATAACTCAGGTCTTTCTGGTAAATTCTGAAGTCCACCTGCACCCTTTCATTTTTGCCACAGGGCAGCGTTTCTGGCACACGTACGATCCTGAGGAAGCTCTTGGCAGTGGTGTATAATGGCTGTATGAAGTAGTAGGCATTCTGGTAGTACACATTGACTGTCAGTGGCATGTATTCTGGGTCCTCAAGCAGGAATCTCCCCTGTCAGAAAATTAACAATGTGCTTTCTGGCTGAGTACAGGGGACCAACAGCCACTGTAGACTACAGGGCGAGGTGGGGGGGGCACTCTGCCCCCGGAAGGAGCAGGGCTTAGACGACCCAGACTGCAGTGTAGCGCTCCTTCTCAGTCCTCAGAGCTGCACAGAGCAGCGGAGCAGCGCTCCGGAGCTCCCAAAGCAATTCAAGGGATCCCAGGGTTCCATTGTTGCAGTAGTGGCAATGGGAACAGGGAGCTCCTGGGCTCTTTGAATCTCTGAGCCCCAGGGCTATTGCCCCCTTTGCTCCCGCCCCCTATCAGTGGGCCTGGCTGAGTACATCAGATGAGAGAAATTCTGGGATTGGTGGGAGTCAAGATTGTGGATATGATTTAGAGATCCTAGGCTAAATTCATTCCTGGAGTGAATCTACTGGCTTGAAAGGCATTACTCTACCTACTAACCGGCTTCCTAGGGAAGCTCATGATTGGAACAGTAGCAGGTCAGGATCGGGAGGTGCCAGCAGTTATGGGAGGAGTCAAGGACCACATAACAAGGATCCACAGTTTGGGAATAATGTACACGTGGGCTGTGTCTACATTGGCCCCTATTCCGTAATAGGGATGCAAATGTAGCACTTTGGAATAGGCAAATCCGCGGGGGATTTAAATATCCCCCGCGGCATTTGCATTAACATGGCTGCCACTTTTTTCCGGCTTGTAGATAAGCCGGAGAAAA